GCCGGCTTCCAGTCAGAGGAGGAAACATGGCCGTAAGACTGTTGGTTCGAGCGATCGTATATCCCTCGGTACGACGGCTCTCTGACATGCAAGCCGTCTTCAGAACTGGGGTAAGACAGCGGTTGGTTGGTCATGTTGAGTATTAGGAGGAAGAAGGGTATCGATGATGAAGATGGCTGGATGTTTTATCGGAGAAAGGATGAACAGAAATAAGTCAAGTCCAAGAGGGACAGTTGTGAGTTGTCAAGGGCAGGTGAGATATGATTGTATCGTAGTCGTTTCGAAAATATGGTCGATCTAGAACCGCCCTCCCAGGGAAACCTAACTTCATTCCTTGGTAGACAAGCAGGGACAAAAACTATAACTTGTGAGAATCTGTTTCATTTACTACCATTAAGATACATGGTGGACATTCCCTAGTCCTGCTCGTGAATCACACCAAACACCATATGCTCTGAGCCCTAGAATTTCAGCCCTAAAAGGTAGGGGAACGACAGAAAGAACGCCAGCCCAGGGGTATTAACAAGTAAGAAAAAGCAAACTGAAAGGAGCTTTCAGGTCTGGAAACTGTACATGCGCACTTCGCAATCTTCGCTGCCTGTAGCGAAGCGGCTGTCGCCAAGGCCGATGCAGGTCACTGGCCCTGAATGTCCAGTAAATGTGCGCTCGCATTTGCCGGTCCTGGGATCCCAGATCTTGACCATGCGATCCTCAGCTCCCGAAACGATACGGAGAGTGTCGGCCGCTAAAGCCCACACTCCTTCCAGATGACCAAAGAATGTACGCAAGCACCTTCCGGACGAGGTCTCCCACAGCCGAATGGTCGAGTCAAGAGCGCTGGTTACTATGTAACGTGGTGGTGAAGGACGTCCGTCGTCGAAAGCCGGGCCAAAAGCAGAAGAGGGAGTGTCTGAGGTCTGAGCATCAAATCCAGGTATAGCCTGCGGAGAAGCAGCTGGACTGTCGCCGGAGGTGACGCTAACGTTATCATTCTCGCATTCGACATCATGATCTTCGAATTCAAATTCCCTGGGAAGCGGAACAACCTGCTGCACCTGACCAACATGCCCGTGAAATGTTCTGATGCAGGACTTGGTATCCAAGTCCCAGAGTTTGACCGTGCAGTCGTCCGAGGCAGAAAATACTGTTCGGGAGGCCGAGTCAACTCGGACCGCATTGACCCAGTCGGTGTGCCCACGCAGAAGGCAAGTCGACTTATCCTCAAAATTCCAGATCTTCACGGTCTTGTCTACAGACCCAGATGCAAGGATGGTCGCATCGAAATGCAGGCCGACTACACCTCCACGGTGGCCGGAGTAGGTAGATATGCATTCGCCTGTCCGCCAATTCCACACCTTGAGAGTATGATCCATGCTGCCACTAATCAATTTCGTATCGTCGAATTGAAGACAGCGAATGCCGGACCGGTGTCCCTTCAGGGTGCGAAGCTCCTCGCCTGTTTCCGTGTCCCAGATTTTGATCGTAGCATCATAGGACCCAGTAGCCAGGATATTGTCCTCAAATTGCAAACACATAATGCCGTTACTGTGTCCCTTGAACACTCTGATCGAGCAGCGCCCATATTTCCAGTTTGTGCCCACTTTGAAGCGATCCTTGTACACTTCCTTCCACGGTCTGTATCGTGTTTTAAAGTAGTCCTCATTTTGCTCTGATTGAGAAACAATGGACGTGCACTGACGTTTTACCATGGCCGTGTCTTCTTTATCCGATTCAGGTTTTCGCTTGGATCCTGACGCTGCAGTGTCGATAGTAGCCGAATTGCTTTCAGTCTCCGCTGGCTGCTCGCTGACATCCCATGTAGCTGCACGGCGTTCGATTTCGCGCTTAGATTCACGCAACCTTTTACGGTCGAGAAGAGGAAGGCCCCAACCACATTTCTTGCACTTGCGATGAATATGCTGCTCACACATTCGGTGCCAAACTACATCATCGTCGGCCAACGCTCTCCAACGTCTCGAGACCTGCGCGGCTTTGCAGAGAGAGGTCGTGTCCAAGTAACATAAAATTTTGAAGGAGATTTCTGGAGGGAGAGCCGTGAGGAAGTCGATACGAATCAAATCGCGGACTGTTGCCGAGATGAAAGACAGTTGCGGAAAGCAACACTGTGCCATTATTCCCTGCAGGATAAGTTTTCGGTGCTTCGCCGGGGCGGCAGAAAAAATCGACCAAGCATGCGCGATGCCTTGCTGATCACTCTGTGGTAGTGTTTCTAATTCCTTTGCCATCTGTCAGCGCTAGAACGAAGACACTTGACAAGTATGGTGCATTTTGGATGCTGGAAGAAGAGCTTACCCGTTGTAACTTGTCCATTGTTGGTTCATCAGCCTGTCGCCTGCACTTTAAATCTGGTCGGTGACGATAACAGTATTTGGAATTCGCACTGCTGATTTCTACCGGCTGTCCAGTTTGCGAACCAAGAGGAGCGTACTGTTCGGGGATATGCCTGGCCAGAAAGGGTGCGACGTTCTTGCCAGCCAGCTTTTCACGTATTGGTTTTTGGGTGTTGAAACTGTGGGGCTTGTCCTGTGTAGATTCGGGCCCCGTTTCAACATCTTCGACGGTCTCAGATGGGCCAAATACAGATGCAAAGGAAGAATCTCCTGGGAGGTAAAGCGCCTTCTCCTCCGAGGCACACTCGTCTTTCATAGTCGAGGTGGAGGATCCGTGACCATCGCGAAACGACAGTTCATGGGCATCCATAGCGGCACTCAACCACTCATTAGGTATATTTCGAGTCGCGTCAACGGTCTTTTGCGAACGTCGTAGAGATTTGAAAGATCGAAGATTGCAGCAGCCGGGATCACTCGTAAGGTCAATTGAAGTGAGAAAGACGAGGAGGTAGGGTATACGATCAATGTGGCGACCGTCGGGGATGATGTGATGTTTGAGATGAGTACCCGGGAAGGCGGTGGTAACCGATGAGTAGATAAGGAGTACAGAAGTATCAAGATTACTTCGAAAAAGCGAGAGCTTGCTTTATAAATTGGAGAGCGTAGTAAGAGCTAGAATTTGCAGAGCCGCTGATATCTCTTGCCTGTACTGACCAGAGTGATTCATCCCAGAGACATTATTATTATTATCGAAGTGCCTGAATCACGCAACAGCAGCTGCAAGTCTCGTGCTGCGGCCACCATTTTGCGGGTGGGGAGCACGTGATTCGAGATCGATGGCGCCATCGCCGCCTACCGTCGCATCAGATCTCATCAGTGTTCTTCGTCCCGCATTCCATTCTGATGGCGTGAACTGTGATCATAACCACAATATTAAATCTTGCAGTGGTCCACTTTGACTAGGTACCTTAGGCGCTTACCTAGCTTGGAGCATTGTCCAATCATTGAGCCCAATGGCATCAAAAATCGCCATTTGTAGGACGGATTGCGGATCTTCCAAGTTAGTTCGAAATGCGGACTCTAGGAGTCTTCTAAGTTTTGACTTCTACTACTGATCCTGGACGGTCTGCGGGTCTGGGCCTTCGGGGTACATAAGACATACCAATATGGAGTACGGAGTATGAAGGAGATAGAGACTGTTCTCAATGTTGCTCTTTGCTGCAGAACACACTCCGGTACAGGGTCTTACCTCAGCTACTAAGCAATCTGACCTCGACATCAGATCTAACGCCCCCTTTGCAAGATGGGAAATCTCAGGATACACAGCGTCGATTTCGTTCAGCCTATGGTGACTCTACTGAGCGCTTTTTTGAATACGTGCTTCGGTTTCCAGGCAGAGCAGCCAGGAGCAGCTCCATACCCTCGTCTGGTCCGCTTTGGCAACCACTGCTGGCCAAGATCAGGAGAGACCGTTGTAAAACGCGGTGGGAGCAGTAGCAGTCTCACAATGATAACTCCAAGCCACGGCTCAGTGGCCGGTTCTCACCCGCTTCATAGTTGCAGCCATCCTCGGAAAGACGCAGATGCAACCCCGTTCCAGTCCTGTCCGCTGTCGATTCGGAAGTGAAGGCCCGAACGGGTCAATCAGAACGCCAATTGAGGTAGGATGTGAAAGTACTATGCGATCTTCAAACCGCTAGCCATTCCATTTAAATAGTTCTTCCTTCAATACTCTAGCTGATTATCTTACATCTGGTCTATATCCTTGCGCTTCATGCATTAGACTTGTGACCTTCTAACGCGTTGTCAACTGGATATCGGGATGATCATTAGTAGGAATCATAGGCGTCTAAGGTAACGTCGAGGTCCAGAGGTCCAGGGTGAGCTGAAGGCTAGAGATATGATGAGATCATGTGACCATTATCACATGATGCCATAATCCAAACCTGGAGACGGGGATGTCGACAGTACATCCTTGTGAAACATCTTGTGTCATCTAAACCACTTTTGACTTCTAGTTTATCGATAGATCGTCACCAACCATATGTACTATCCCTGTATCCACACCGCCTGTTGACCTGTTGATCTAGTTCCCAGGCCTCAGACCAAGACCAAACATTCCCGTTCTCCGGTCACTCAGTTGGTATCCTGAACATGGCATGTATGCTATGAGCATTGCTTGTTACTATTGACTACAACAGGTAGATATTCTTTATGGGAAAGGCTGGAGCGGTCTCGGAAGATCGATTTCTGTCGCCGTCCCCCCAAATCTTCGCATCAGGTGCAGCAGCTCCTTTTCTACTCCTAAATCGCTAAGCGGCGTTCTGGTACTTCTGCTTCTGGCTCAGTCTATCTATCTGAATTTCCGTTATTTTTTGATAGTTGGAAAGAAGAAAGTTATCGCCTGTCCAACAAGCGAGTCATAGTCAACCTAAAACGCCACTTGAGTCTCGACAGGTATAGAGGCGGACAGAAGGCGACAGAACATCACCTCATTTTTCTAATGAGGTGACTGTGAACTAAAATCACGCCTTCTCAGGGATTGTTCCCTCGTCGTACTGAGCAGCGCAGAACTGGACTTGCGGAATAGCGTGGCTGAAGATCAGCCCTTCCGTGCGTTGTTATTGAGTGCTTGGAGTCATTGAAAGCATGTCATCCTCTGAATCCTCGTCAGCGTCCGGAGGTGGACGTCCCGATGCAGGGCAGCCGCCGAGCGAGGAGCAGGCGATGCCTCGACTCGATACTCTTATCTCACATCTTGTTGCGGCCAAACGATCCTTATCATCCATTAATCATGTGTGGCGAGCCAATGAAATTGTCACTGCCGCTCGTGCTGCATTAGAAGAATGTGTGGTCGTGTCCGCGAGGACGGGCTTTCTCCGTCGCGGGCTTAACAATCAACTGCGGCTCTTGTATAGTGTCCGGACTGAAGTGGAGGAGATATCCCTTCGTGGACGCTCGGAATTTGCGGCTGTCTTGAAGGACCTCGACGACGCGGATACGCGACTGAGACGCACCTTAGAGCTTCTTCGGGAAACAATTGTCCACCCTGCCTTTCGTCCTGAAGGAGAAGATCCAAAGAGTCTGCATGACTTTGTCGACGAGCGAGGTGTAGAGGAACTTCATGCAGCTTTGAAGAGCTCAATAGATCGCACCACTGCGGCACAAGCGCAACTGGACTCCTCCAACCATGCCTTTGATGACGAGCTCCTGTCTATTAAGGAGGCTCTGGGAACCTATAGGACCGCTGCGAAATTGGCCTCGTCGCGTTCCTCCTCGTCTGCATCTTCCTCGTCGGCATCCAATTCCAGCCTGCCCTCCATGTCAACTATGCCATCTATGTTGCATTCGCTGGAAATGCATGCACAGGAAATGGCCAACCTACTGGAATCGTTGGTCCGGCATTTTGATCTCTGCGTAACAGCTGTCAAACACACCGAAGGGGGCGGGGCTGCAGCGAAATCTATCACAGGTGATATGCCCGTTGGTGTACCTGTCAGCGGCCGTATGGGCTCAAACATTGAAGATATAAACGACAATCTGAATGCACCACTGGACCCACTAAGCAATTCCGAGTACCAAGAAATGGTGAATGTCCTGTTCAAAGATGCAGCTGAAGCGGAAGATGTTGTGATGGAGATCCAAGATCGAATAAGCGAGATGGAATCTGTTCTGGAGAACGTATTGGCTCAACGAGACGCTCTTCGGTCCATCTACAATGCCACAACAGATATTTACCAGCATCTTTCTTCTCTTGGGTCAACACGCTTGCCGGGCTATATCGCTCAGGCACACAATTTCACGCAAGTGTGGCACGAAGAGAATGATCGTATAAGTGGTGGCTTAGCAGATCTTTCTGATTTGAACTCACTTTACGATGGCTTCCTTGATGCTTATGACGGTCTGATTGTCGAGGTAGCGCGTCGAAAGCATGTGCGGCAACGCGTCGAGAAAGTCCTCCGTGATGCCAGGCACAAGCTGGATCAACTCTATGAGGAAGATGTCACTGCCCGCGAGACATTCCGGGTTGAAAAAGGGGACTATCTGCCATCCGACATATGGCCCGAAATAGGCCGGGAGCCCATGCGGATCGAATTTCGACGGATATCGGGTGCCAACGTCCAGGCCGTCAATCTACAGAGGCCGCATGAACAAGAAGCTATCACAGGTGAACAAGAGGCAGCAAATCGCCTTGCGCCAGTGGAAAGCAGTGATGGAGACGAGATTATTCCTGATCTGCCGAGAGACCTCGTGGAGCAGGCTTTCGCTCGGCTCAAGGCTAGGGTCAAAGGCGCAACATGATGCGACTCACCCCCTTGAGTGATAGAACTGACAGAGCCAACTTCACACTTGACAACTTCCTAGATTTCTATCTCAGCTTCAATATGACCTATGTCTGATCACGAGCATATTGGTTGGTAGGACAGATTTTACCGTGATGTTCATACAAACCTGGACCTTGCCATTGAGTAATAAGGTTGCCTACATGATGAACTCAGAAGAGGTTAAACCTCACCCGAGGATTGGTTCGAGCCCTTTACTTGTAAGACAACCCCATTGATGACGCATACTCCATATACTTTCCGAGAAACTGGACGTAGGCGCGTTGTGGGCAGTCTAGTATAGGAATGAACCAACATGAGGATCAAAGAGAGCTCTGATGGGTCAGCCAAACTCTTTTTATGCCTATTTGATCAAATATCACCAAAGAAAGTGAATTCTATTGAGGTAAACCATATTCGCCTATCCGCTCTTTCTATATCGACTTGTGTACTCGAAAACCCATATATATATATATATATGCATGCATCCAACCGTTACTTCATGAGAGTATTCCGTCATAAAGACCATAAACAATAAATTTCCCTGAGAAACCGTGGAGGATCCACAAATCTTTTCTAAATGCAAAGGATGACACGACTCGCTCATTTCTTCTTCCTGGACGAAGTAGAGACGAGCCGTTTTTTGAGATGCTTCGGCATCTTGTTTGCGCGTTGCTGACGCCTTTCCTCCTTGACCTTTTGCTTATGCTCACGTTTAGAGTCCTTATCCTCGAACCGCTTACCACGCGGTTGTTTTTTCGCAAACGGGTCTTCTCCGTCGGGCCCCTCCTCCGAATCGGATGCAGAGTCTGCGACTGAAACACCGCCGCTGGCATCTGATCCTTGATCATCCTCCCCATCCGGGATGTTCTTTGAGGCTGATTTACCACCAGCAAGGAGATCACGGTAGACAAGGTCCGAGCCTTCACCCGCCTGAACCTTTTCAGCGTCACGCTCAAAGTCGTAGACCTGCTCTAATGTCTGAGGGATGAACTGCTGACGGAAAACGGCGGTATCTTGCTCGGTTTCGGCTTGATCGGGCTTCAGTGTGTAGAGCTTTTCAATCGCGCCATGCATCTCCTCGCTCGCTTCAACGGTGGCAGGTCCGTCTGCGGTAACGATGAACTCGAAAACGGTACGTTCGGAGAGCGTCTCCACGCCCTTTCGGCTGAAGAAGTCGCTCACGTTCTTGATATCCATGCGCAAGAACTCCAAACTGCGAGGGTGATCGTGCTCCACGCTCTGGCTGACATCGATAATGTACAGCTTATTCTTGTGGTAAAGTATGTTGTACTCGCTCAAATCAGCGTGCACCAAGTGACATGTCTGGTACATCACACGCATATATCCGAGGAGCTCGATGTATAGCTCACGCCATCTTGTCTCAGGCTCTGGAGTGTCGAACTCGACATCCTTCAGACGAGGAGCTGGTAGACCTTTGGAGTTACCGACAAATCCCATGACAAGGACGTGCAGCCGCAGGTGAATTGGTTCCGGGCAGGGGATGCCGGCCGCGTAGATTCTTCGAAGGTTCCGCATCTCCTTCTCCGCCCACAACTTAACCATTGCTCGGTTGTTGCTTTTGTTGTATCCTTGTCTGAATCGGAATTCACCGGTAACGTACTTGTCTCTGTCCTTGAACACCAGAATACTAGTCTTGTAGACTTTAATGGCACGGTGATGTTGAGTCTCCTCCTCGTCGGGAAACCAGATGGCGTGGTAAACATTGGCTTCTTTACCCGTCGACAAACAGCCGTGAATCTCTGCAACGATATTCCGATTGATCATCTGCAACAGAATCATTCGCGTACGAGGATCAAGCACTTGCTCGGATGTTGCCCGGTCGGCCCTGTCGCCACCACGCTCACCACGAACCGCCAATCCAGACTGCATATGGTCGAGCTTGATCTTAGCCGCATGCCGAGTCAATGATTTCACCTGATCATCGACGGAGGCATATGTGTTGACGGTGGGTTTCTGGGTGTTCGTCTTCGGGTAGGTCCATTTGGGCGCATTGGGGTCGGCAGCTAGCTCGTTCACTTTTCGTTGACGGTTGTAAGCTTTGGTGAGATCTGCAGTATTCGATGATGTAAAGTCCTCCTCGTCCAGCTCTTCCTCGAAGATATCATCGTAGTATTCGTCCTCGTCCTCCTCGATTTCTTGCGCCTCGGGGTCTTGCCCCGCCATGGCGGGGACTGTGCCTTCAGCGTTCACATATCCTCTGTTGGGGACATATGTGTGGGAAGGAGACAGCCCATCTGCAAGGCTTATTGCCTGTGTGCTCGGGCCTTGAGTAGACATGACTATTAGAATGTCCTACTCGTTTGTACTGAGGATATTCAAGCAATCGAGTTGGGAACCGTGGTGCAACTCTTGCCGCCGACACTTTTTTTTTTACCATAACTCGGTGCGAACCATGTGTTGACTTCACCGCCCGGCAGAAGCCCCGCGGGCGAAAACGCGTAGCTTCAGTGGATGGTTGATCGGCCTCGCGTGTTTCGATGGTTCTTTACCGTCGCATGCGGAAGATCACCTTCACAGACTATTGCTTGTCTTCCATCGAAGGTAATCCTGACGGCCAAAGGCAGAGGTTCAGAGCGCCTTCTTTGAAACGCTGGCTGCGTGATGTTTTGGTTGCAATAGCTGTCATCTAAATTCTCGCGTCGCGCGCCTCGAAGATGTATGTCAAGCAAATAATCATTCAGGGCTTCAAAAGGTATGTCGCTCTTATCTGAACAAGCTCTAGAAAAAATTGAGAGTTGCGACTGATTCTTTTATGCCTCTAGCTACAAGGACCAGACGGTCATCGAGCCCTTCTCCCCAAAACACAATGTAATTGTCGGCCGCAATGGTTCCGGCAAGAGTAACTTCTTTGCTGCAATCCGCTTTGTCCTGAGCGATGCCTATACCCATCTTGGCAGGGAGGAGCGACAGGCCCTGCTTCATGTATGTGGCGCTCTGTCTCCTTCGATTGTTTCGCTGGCTCACGTTCACTAGGAAGGTTCCGGGTCTGCGGTGATGTCCGCCTATGTTGAGATCATTTTCGACAACTCCGACGACAGATTCCCTACTGGAAAGCCGGAAGTGGTTCTCCGCCGAACTATTGGTCTCAAGAAGGACGAATACACTCTTGATCGCAAAAATGCTACCAAATCCGATGTCATGAACCTCCTCGAATCGGCCGGTTTCTCCCGCTCGAATCCTTACTATATTGTGCCGCAAGGTCGTGTCACTGCGTTGACAAACATGAAGGATTCTGAACGTTTAAACTTGCTAAAGGAAGTTGCTGGTACTCAGGTCTACGAAGCGCGCCGCGCGGAGTCGTTGAAAATTATGCACGAGACGAACAATAAGAAGGCTAAGATTGATGAACTCTTAGACTTTATCAACGAGCGGCTCGCTGAACTTGAGGAGGAGAAGGATGAGCTGCGCAATTTCCAAGAAAAGGATAAAGAACGCCGGTGCTTGGAATACACCATCTACTCTCGTGAACAACAAGAAATTTCTGGCATCCTTGACAATCTAGAGGAACAAAGACAGACCGGCGTGGAGGACACAGATCTTAATCGAGACAGATTCATCGAAGGAGAGAAGGGGATGGCGCAAATCGACGCGGAGATTGCTGAGTGCAAGCAACAAATTGAATTCCTGAAAGTCGATAAGGCCCAGCTTGAAGACGAGCGCCGCGAGGCCTCGAAGGCCCTTGCACAGGTGGAATTGCGCGCCAAATCGCTTTCCGAGAACCAGGCTACAGCTCAAGTGCTCAAAGCACGCCATGATGAAGATCTCAAGACCGTCGAACGCGCGATCAAGGAGCGCGAGGCTGAACTCGAGGAACTCATTCCTCGCTTCAATGCAGTTAGAGACCAGGAAGACAACATCAAAGCGCAGCTCAATGAAGCCGAGACAACCCGCCAACGTCTGTATGCCAAGCAGGGTCGCAACTCGCGCTTCAGGAATAAGTCGGAGCGCGATAAATGGCTACAGGCCGAGATCAAGGAAAACCACACCTCTATTTCCACAGTACAGACCGTGATGGCGCAGACTCAGGAGGACATCAAAGAGCTTGAGAACGACATTGCGCTCCTGGAACCGGAAACGGAACGCTTGCGCCAACAAATTGATGGCAGGGGAGACACTGTCCATTCTGTAGAACAACAGGTTCAAGCTGCGAAGGACGAAAGGGATAGGTTGATGGACCAGAGGAAGTAAGTTCAATTTTTCATCTCTCCCTCCTCCTGCCTTAATTCCATTTGACCCTGAATGAACGAGCTCGATGTCTCTAACTGTTTTCAAGAGAACTGTGGCGAGAAGAAGCGAAGCTCGACTCGATTCTTGCCAACGCTTCAAACGAAGTGGACCGGGCAGAACGCACGCTTTCTCAGATGATGGACCACAATACCAGTCGTGGAATTGCGGCCGTGCGAAGGATCAAGCGTCAACACAACCTTGAAGGAGTTTATGGAACATTGGCGGAACTCTTCGAGGTGAATGACAGATATCGGACTGCGGTTGAAGTCACAGCTGGCCAGAGTCTGTTCCATTATGTCGTGGACACGGACGAGACTGCGACCAAGGTGCTTGAAATACTGCAGCAGGAGAAGGCTGGACGAGTGACTTTTATGCCCCTAAACCGACTCAGATCCAAGCCTGCCAATCTGCCTCGAGCGAGCGATACGATTCCAATGATCGACAAGCTACAATACGATTCTGCCTACGAAAAGGCTTTCAACCATGTGTTTGGCAAGACGATTATTTGCCCAAATCTTCAGGTTGCCTCACAATATGCTCGAAGCCATGGTGTAAATGCGATTACGCCCGAGGGCGATCGGTCTGATAAGCGAGGTGCGCTTACCGGTGGTTTCCACGACTCTCGGCAATCTCGACTTGACGCGGTGAAAAACCTCACGAAATGGCGGGATGGATATGAGAACAAGAAGAACCGAGGGGCAGAGATTCGGAAAGAGCTGGAGAAGTTGG